GGCTTGCTTTGTGACCTAACACATGGTCAGTTCTGGAGAATGTTCCATGTGTGTGAGTGCAAGTTAGTTGATTGTGCTGTTTAGTGCCTCTGTAGCTTTGTCAAGTTTCTTTCTGGTTGTTCTGTCCCTTTTCGAAAGTGGCATATTAAAATCCCCCACTATAATTGTAGATTTAGCTATTTCTTTCTTCAATTCTAGTAGGGTTTGGTTTATATATCTTGGTGCTGTTTCATTTGGAGCGTAGATGTTAATTATGGTTATGTCATCTTGCCCAATTGACCCTTTAATGATGCTATAGTGTCCTTCTTTATCTCTTATGGTGGTTTTTGTCCTAAAGTTTGTTTTATCAGAGATTAGTAAAAAACTCCTGCTTGTTTTTTTATTGCTCTTAGCTTGGTATATTTTTTTCCATCCTTTAACTTTTAGTCTGTTTTTTTCTTTGTATTTAAGGTGTGTCTCTTGCAGGCAGCATATCAAAGGGTCTTGTTTTCTTATCCATTCAGCCACTCTCTGTTTCTTCACTGGTACGTTTAATCCATTGACATTCAATGTAATTATTGATTCGTATGTGCTAACTGCTGTCATTATGTAATATTTTATGGTGCTCTTTGTTCCTTTGTTCTGCATGCAGTCTTGTGTTGCGTTCATGTTTTTTGTGCTATTTCTTGTTGGTTTCTTTTTTGTTTTAATGTTTCCTTGTTCTGCTTGGATCGTCATTTTCATGGTAAGTTGTGAAGGATTAATTTTCTTTCGGGTTACCCTGTAGACTGTTAGGAACTCTGGTAGCATAGTGGTTATGAATTGGGCTGTGAACCGCAAGGCCAGCAGTTCGAAACTACCAGCTGTTCCGTGGGAGAAAGATGAGGTGTTCTGCTCCTGTGAAGATTTACAGCCTCGGAAACCCTGTACAGGGTCGCTATGAGTCGGAACTGACTCCACGGCACATAACAATAACAACAACAACAACATAGACTGTTAAGTTTTCCCTGCATTTAGGACAGTCTTTTTTTTTTGTATCCTGCCATCTGCTTGGCCTCATCACCACCTGGATCTCTGTTCCTATATTTTCCCCTTATTTGACATTGTAACTATTTTGATCTTTGGTTGGCCTCACAAGTCCTCTGAATTCATTGCTGTAATTTTGTTACATTCTGAACTCTGCTATCTGTTGACTAAGTTCCTGGTGGTGTTGCCACGTCTGTCAGTCTCTGGTTGTTGTCTGTTCT